ATTGTAAGAATCACATTTCGAATCATAATTCAAATAATGGACTTGCACGAACCTTTTTATACACCAAATGCAAAATAGTAATGAGTTCTGCTCGAGTCTCATGCTCTCATAATCTCGAATGATTTGGCAATTATCACGGTATCTCCATATTTTTTCTTTTAAAATTAATTTTGATGTTATGTAAACATATTAAATGGTATTGAGTCACATTATCTTAATTATAAAAACTAAAAGCACGATCACAATGTGTTATAGGCTTATAGCACACAAGAAACGTCACTGTTATCTTCTAAATCAAATCAGATCAAATGTAAACAGATCGTGATTAAACCATAAATCACTAGACTTAAAGGTTATTTACTCGGAACCTAAAGAACTTAATGCTCAATAATGCTAAAGATGTCTTAATGATTCACTCATAAACTTTGGTTTAGTTTACTTGGAGCTTAATAAAGAAGATAACTTAGCTTATTTGTTGAGGCAATTTTTGAATTATTCGCTCGGCCCAAAATAACACTCACGCTGAAATAGATATCTTTTCCCTCTTTTAATCTCAATCGTTTCTCTTATGGCCGATGGCCCCATTGAAAATTTGTAGCAAGGTTGGATGCCTGGCGAAGGGAAACCATCCAATCAAGAAGGTCAAGTCAATGACCACATATTTTGGGACCCATTTTTCACCTATCTCAGGGCTGCCTTCCTTACAATCTCACCGTCCGTTGATGCAAGACACTCTGTCGTACGACAAAGAATCTGAATCCCCTTTGAACAAGGAGTTTTATCCATTGGCATAATCAACCCAACACGGTTGGTCATCTGCTATTTCTATATATAAGCTACCCATATTATTTTTCTGATGTGCTATATGCTCTGTAACAAACGTCAAAGAGTTCCAAGCTCCGATCCATATATAGATGTATTGGCGTATTGCTTTGATTTTGCACCATCTATTTATATACATTTTTGTTAGGGTCAGTCCTAACATTAATATTTTATGCTTAACATTAACAAATAATACTATCAGGCATGTGAAACTAATTTGTAATACATATAGTACTTCAATTTGACTTCAATTTGTAATAGCGCCGTAGATATCTGTTTTTGAATCTATTCATTTTTCATATATGAAATTTTGCTCCGAATTTGGCCCGGTTTATTTTGAATAAGAATAAGTAATAAATACAAAAATAACTCAAGAACAGTTCTTCAATCCCTAACACTGTATCACGAATAGCAATGCGAAAACCTAAGTGTTCAAATACCTTCCTTAAAAAAAACAATTCTTCAATCCCAACAACTATGACCTATATTTGCCAGTGAAATAGAAGAAATCTAAAACACTCAAGATGGATACAAAACTAAAAAATGATGGTGAAATAATTTATCTACCTATCCATAACAAATCCCCATGTGATTTGAGTTCACTCCAAGAAGGGTTGAATGAAAAGATGATGGTAATCATATTTCTGGTTAATCAATCAAGTCTAAATGAAAATGAATTAAACAAACCGATCTTACTGTTGGTGATTTTAGTGTCACCGGCCGTTTTGTGTAATTGGAAATGACATGAGTGCCAATGGGAATTAGAACTATGATCTAATACAAGTTAGTAGGTGTGGAGTGCACACTTGTATATAAGAACTAGTTTAGTTCCAAAGTGTCTACGTTAGTGGAACTCGAGGTATACCTTTCAGTAGACCAGCTCTGTGGTTCTAGACCGAGTTCTAGAACGGTTAGGCAGTTTCCAGCAGTTTCCCAAAAACTGTTGCGGTTATTCTTAATCGTGTTACAACTGCCTAGGACGATGAATATGGATAGATACCACCATATTTCGTACAGAGGAGGTAGAGGAATAATATTCAACATATCTTCATCACTTTGGCACTCAAATTAAAGATAACAATCGAGATATCACTAGTTTGGCTCTAGTTCTTGTGCCTAAGTTCTAGAGTGTCCTTAATAATTATCCTAGATTGAATTTCTTGTAACCCAGGCATAGGGGAGAAATATCAATTCGGAAAGTGAACTTACACGATCCTTAAGATATCCAAGTACTCGAATTATCACCCCCTACGTGATTTACCCCAACAATCGAATTGATATTTCTTTGTGATAATCATGAGTACCGTGGAAGAGATGACGTCCAAGTTCAACAAATTGGACAAGTTTCAAGGGAATGATTTCCGTAGATGGCAGAAGAAGATGCACTTCCTTCTCACCACTTTGAAGGTTGTGTACGTGTTGAGCACTCCAATGCCGGACGTTATGGAGGATGAAACCTTGGAACAAACTAGGAGGCGTAACAAGTGGGAGAACGATGACTACATATGTAGAGGCCACATCCTTAACGGTATGTCCGATGCGTTATTTGATATTTACCAAAACGTTGATAGTGCGAAGGAATTGTGGAATTCTCTTGAGTCAAAATACATCGCCGAGGATGCTTCTAGTAAGAAGTTCTTGGTGAGTGATTTTAATAATTATAAAATGGTTGACTCAAGGCCGGTTATGGAACAATACAATGAACTCCTTCGTGTTCTTGGTCAATTTAAACTCCACAAGATAGGTGTTGATGAGTCCTATGCCATGTCGAGTATAATTGACAAACTTCCACCCTCTTGGAAGGATTTTAAACGTTCTTTAAAACATCAAGATGTGGAACTGTCCTTGGTTCAACTTGGGAGTCACTTGCGCATTGAGGAGAATCTTCGTGTGCAAGAGAATGACCAAATTATGGGTGAAGTTGAATATAGACTGGCTCATGTTCACTTGGTTAAGGATAATAAATCTAACCCAAAAGATAAGGGGAAAGGAAAAAAACGCAAGTATGAAGACCATGACAAACCCAACACAAAACCAAAAGGTTTGGTTTGTTGGAGGTGTCAAAAGGTTGGACATGTCAAGCGTGATTGCCGTGTGAAACTGAACAAGAATGGCGCTGGAACGAGTGGCAATGGACAGGAACGGTCTAAGGACCTGGTTCCATGGAAAGGAGGTTAGTTCCTGACTAACTTTGATAATTCTGTCCAGAATTATGTATCACTCATTCCAGAATCTTTTTTATGTACATGATGATGACTGTGCATGGTGGATTGACTCGGGGGCTACGAGCCATGTGTGTAAGGATAAAGGATGGTTTGAAGACCTAGAACCAGAGGAGGTCGATTCCTTCTTACGCATGGGAGACGAGTCAATGGCGCCTATCTTGGGAAAGGGTGTAGTTGTTTTAGAATTTACTTCTGGAAAAACAATTACGTTGTTTAATGTTTTGTATGTACCGAAGGTTCGAAAGAATCCTGTTTCAGGAATAATTTATGTTGAATAAATTTAGGGTGGTGAATAATTTAGGGTTCAAACAAGTGATTGAATCCGATAAATATATTCTGTCCAAGGGTGGTGTGTTTGTTGGTTTTGGATATTTATCAAATCGCATGTTTCGTTTAAATGTTGTGAATAAATTAATTTCTAGTGATAATTCTATTTTTGTGGCATCTTCCATGAATGATTGTATGATTTGGCATGCTAGATTAGCTCACGTAAATTTTAGAAAAATGCATGAAATGTCTAAAGATGGTTTAATTCCGGCTTTTGATATTAATGATGATAAGTGTAGGACTTGCATGCTTACTAAGATCACAAAACAACCGTTTCCTAATGTTGAAAGGAATTCACTATTTTGGATCTTGTACATAGTGATCTATGTGACTTTCACTCAACTCCTTCCCTTGGCAATAAAAGTATGTTGTTACTTTTATTGATGATTCGACTCGGTTTTGTTATGTGTATTTATTACACACCAAGGATGAAGCTTTAGAGAAATTTAAAGTGTATAAAACTGAGATTGAATTGCAATTGGGTAATCCAATTAAATGTCTTAGGACTGATCGGGGAGGAGAATATATGGATCCCCATTATTTTCAATCTGTTGGAATCATTCATGAGACCACGGCTCCGTATACACTACAACAAAATGGTGTGGCCGAACGGAAAAATCGAGTGTTAAAGGAAATGGTTAATTCCATGCTTTCCTACTCGGGTTTGAGTGAAGGGTTTTGGGGAGAGGCCATGCTCACGGCCTGCTATGTTCTAAATAGGGTTCCAAATAAAAGGAACAAGACAACCCCATATGAGCTTTGGTACAAGAAAGCGTCGAATTTGAAATATTTTCGGGTTTGGGGTTGTAGGGCGATTGTAAAATTGCCCGAGCCCAAAAGGAAAACTTTGGGGGAAAGGGGAATTGATTGCATATTCATAGGGTATGCTCAACATTCCAAGGCTTATAGGTTTTATGTAATAGAACCTAATGATGTGGTAGCGGTTAACACCGTGATTGAGTCTCGGGATGTGATCTTTGATGAGATGAGATTTTCATCAATTCAAAGACCAAAGGACCCAGTTCCAGGCGCTAGTGAGGTGCAAGTTCCAGAATGTTTGGATGGTGTTTTGAATCCCGAAGCACCACAAATAAGGAAAAGTAAACGAGGCCGCATCGTGAAAGACTTTGGTCCCGATTTTAACTTGTATTTAGTGGAAGGTAAAAGGGATGAAACGGGGGTACAATATTCATATTGTTACCAAGTTGAGGATGATCCAAAGACCTTTAAAGAGGCTATGGAATCACGAGATGTTGCCTTTTGGAAGGAGGCAATTGATGATGAAATGTAATCAATTATGGAGAACAACACTTGGGTGTTGTCGGATTTGCCACTGGGTTCTAAACCCTGAGGTTGCAAATGGATCTTCAAAAAAAATGGAAGTGGATGGAACTGTTGACAGGTTCAAGGCTCAGTTGGTCATTCAAGGTTTTAGACAAAAACCCGGAATTGACTATTTTGATACGTATGCGCCGGTTGCTCAAATTATGCTCATTTTAAAAGGTTACACATTTCAAACATATCATACTACATTAGAGATGAGTTTTATGTTAAATTGACATGAGTATAACGTTCAAAATGAATGAGCATACACAAATGCGTTTTTTTTATTTTTTTTATACTCATTTTGTAAGTTATGTGTGTTCATGTAGTACTGCTTTATGCTCATTTTAAAAGGTTGCACATTTCAAACATATCATATTGCATTAGATTCACATATTAAAAGTAATTGAAATTGATTATAGACATAACTTAAGACTTTTTAATAAACGAAAAATAATAAACATAAAGTGATGTATAAGGTATGAAGCAGACATCACTGATGCTCACCGTTAGGCTCCTAATACTCAAAAGAACAGACTTGGTGCTCAACAAAATTGCGCTAATGCTCATTCAAAAGAAGCTCTGTTTTTCATCAAAATTGCAAAAATGCCACCGACTGTACGGATGACACCGTACAGCTGGTTGTACTGTATACGCTTCCCAGATTTGGTGCCCAATTTAGCTCTCATTCCCTAACCCTACCTTGCCGAAACTCTAGCAGCATGTTTCTTCTGCAAGCCAAATGCTCTGATCTCAACGAACGGCCAAAGGGTCGTGTTCTCAAGCTCTTCAGAGCAGCCAAGCGGCGGCAGTGAAAAAAGTCAAACCGGCGATGAGTCCAAGCACCCGGAGATCAATGGGCCCACCTTTGACCGAGATGATTCCGCGCTGGTCAGTGAGACTCGAGAGGTTATTGAGAAGATGGCGAAGAATATGTATTTTCTGAGTACGGCATTGGGTATACTATGCGCCGTCCCGCTGGGTTTGGGTGCTTGGTGTTGTTATGGCTTGAGTCCTTCCATGCCTGAGACTTTTCTCCCGTGCCTCCTGGCCTCCGGACATTCAGGTGCAATGGTTTTCGTGATAGTCATTGCTCGAACCAAGGAAGAAACTGGAGGAGCTAGGGAGGCTGCAGAATATGACTATGACCTTAGAGATTGCCAAGCAAATGAACTTGTTCTTTTGTCGCCTCCATAGCTTTACTTTTTATTGGATTGTTGCTTCTTCTGCTGGTTTATCTATGTTTCTATGAATCAGTCATAAGTCAGTGTGACCAAGTCTCTTATGTCATAAATCAGTCACCCCCTTTTCACTCATGTGACCAAGTCTCTTATGCCATAAATCAGTCATGTCAGTATTCACCACAACATTGACCCTATCCTTGAAGATCTTCGGATGTGTCATGTACAACTTTGAGCATCTTTTACCTTTAGCCACGATCAAAGAACCACGAGTGAGTTTCCATATTCCATTACCAAAGTTGTTGCTGTAACCATCATCATCGAGTAAGCCTGTGGAGATCAAATTAAGTCTCGTATCTGGAACATGTTTTACATTATGTAAAACCAACATAACTCTATCCCAGTATCAAACTTCAAACAAATATCTCCGATGCCTGCAATTTTTGATAGTCCATTATTACCCATCCTAACATTACCAAAGTTACCTGGAGTGTAAGATGAATAAAAATCCCACTGTGATGTTACATGACAAGTGGCACCACTATCAACAACCCAACTGGAATCATCATGTGCAATGTTGACCATATCAAGATCAGAACAAATAAGGAACTCATCGGTAGTAGTGTTAACTTCAGCATTGCCATTACCACCCTCATCTTTCTTATGGTTCTTTTGATTGTTGTATTCGCTCTTCTTCTTCTCCTTTTCAATTGCCTGCAGAACCGTATTGTGTGGCCTTTTCTACCACAATGATAGCACTCAAAAACAGCAAATTTTCCTTTGGATTTACTTCGATGCTTCCCTTTGTTACCTGGACCTCTACTCTGACTTCTCCCCTGCTTTCTGTAACTAAGACATCATAATGTGAAGAGGAACCTTGTGACTTTCTTCTCATCTCTTCATTTAAAACATTGCCTTTAGCTAATTCCATGGTGATAATACCATCTGGTTCAGAGTTGGACAATGATGTCCTAAAAGTCTCCCATGAGTCCGGTAAAGTGCCAAGGAGCCACAAGCCTTGTATCTCATCTTCAAACTTGATACACATTCCTGCAAGTTGATTTATGATTCCCTGAAAAGAATTCAAATGATCAGTGACAGGAGTTCCATCATGGTATTTCAAGCTCATCATCTGTTTTATTAAGAACAATTTATTGTTCTCGGTCTTTCGAGCATACAACTGTTCATGCTTGTTCCACAAACTGCGAGCATGAGTTTCCCTGCTAATATGGTTCAAAACATTATCATCAACCCATTGGCGAATATACCCACAAACCTGTCTATGCAAAATATTCCATTCTGCATCTGTTTTACTCTCAGGTTTATCAGTAGTAAACACAGGCAAATAATAATCCTTCACATAAAGTAGGTCTTCCATTTTGCCTTTCCAAACATGATAATTAGAACCATTCAAATTGATCATCCTACTTGTGTTTGCTTCCATCATTCAAACAAGTTTAACTCGATACAGAAGAACTCGGCTCTGATACCAATTTGATGGGAAAAACAGCCCCAAACGGTAACTAATAAAATGTGGAATTAATCCTCGTTTGGCTAAAATTTCCCCAACTTGAATGAACCTTTGAGGATGCAAACAAATAGGGTGTTCTTAATGAAATTAGAACACACACAAAATTGCTGCCACACACCAATATAATCAACTAAAACAGTAAGCACACACCACACAAAAACACCAGAATTTTAGCGTGGAAAACCCGTTAACTAGGAAAAAACCACGAGACCATTTTGGCCGCTTAAATCCACTATCATAATCAAAGGAGCAGTACAAAGTCTTCTCTAGATAATACTAGAGGCATACAAAGTCATCATATCCTTGGAAGTAAGCACATCAAGGTGTTTGGAATCAAAATAGAGCCAAGATAAGAAATATATCACCAGAAAAATAGCTACTGTCCAGACCCACGAAACCCGACCTCCGGACCTCAAAACCCGATCTCCACCGTCCAGAATGTTGGCCCAGATGCTGTGACGCTGCTGTCCATAAATCACGACGATCCAACGGTTCAATCTCTGGGAAACAGAATTTTTCTGCTGCTGCCTGCTGAAAAACGGGATGAGCATTTCAGCTCATATTTTGTGACTTGTTCTCTTTTCTGCTGCTCTTTTCTGTCCATCGAATGTGAGATAGTGGCTGACCCATATTTTTATTATTAGCTCCCAAAAAAGAAAGTCAAAGAAGACTTTTAATGGGCTCAAAACTCGGGCTTTCCTCATGGGTCAAAAACAAAGAAAAACCCAACATCCTATGATTCGATAAATTCTACTCCGTACTTGGGATAAAGCGCAAATTATACCGTGGGATCGGCATATCGTGCGCACGGTATGCCCATCCCTATACGGTGCCGTTTTGGGATTAAAACAGAGGATAGAAGGTGCGCCCATCCCATTCCCCGTCGTTTTTTATCTCCTACTCCTTCGCACTTCATCTCCTTCGCCCCTTCATCTCTTTCGCCCGAACAATTTTGAGGAGTTCAACAAAGGCCATGACCGGACCTTGCAACCAACAAAGAAGGCTGGGAATTCAAAGCAGATACCCGGAGCAAGGAAGAAGCATCGATTGCTCTGCTCTACAATGGAATTATCTGGATCTGTGTATCTCTCCTCCGAGCGATTAGACTGTCGATTGATCCAAGCCTGGGTACGTAACACATAGAAGAGAGATTTGAACACCAGCTCCATGGATTGGCCGCATTACACAAGGAAGAGAGATTTGAACTACATCTCCATCTTCGGATCTACTGGGATATGGTGTTTATTGCCTAAATGCCTATTGGGAAACTTTTTTTTGTTTACATGTAGCTTATTCTCTCCCTAAGTTACATTTTTATTAAACTAATTTACATTTCCATTTATCTCAAATTACATATCAATTAAGCTGAGTTACATTTCAACTTTTCTGAACAAGTTACATCTTGTTTACACGTGATTTACATTTACCATAAGACGAGTTACACTTACATCTACGTGAGTTACATGTGTAGAGTAGCGATCCTGTCAGGCCGGCCTGACGGGAACCGCCGTCAGGCCGAGGCCATTTGGAGGCCTTCCCGGTGGAATTTTTTGATGAAATTTTTTGAGCATGTTCATAATCAAGTCTAGTTTATCCATACCAAATTTCAGCTAAAAACTCCATCGGGAAGGCAGTCAAAAAAATTCCCTACCAAAACTGGGCAGTTTATATATATAATATATAATATATATAAACTAGACTTGATTATGAACATGCTCAAAAAATTTCATCAAAAAATTCCACCGGGAAGGCCTCCAAATGGCCTCGGCCTGACGGCGGTTCCCGTCAGGCCGGCCTGATATGAACTGCCGTCTACATTTGTAATAGCATGAGTTACACCAAAAACTCAACCCCTACTATTAAAACAAAAAAAAAGATTTTTTTTTCAATCATTTTTATGGTCATGATATTAAAAACAAAACATATTCAAAATTTAAGTAAAGTAATTGTGTAATAAGACTCTCTGTTTTCATTATTTACATTGAAATTAATGTTTTATTTTCGTATACTATGTATTTGACAAGTTACATTTCAACTGGACTTGAGTTACATTGATCGATAGTTTGAATTACATTTTTTTACACGCGACTTACATCATTAACGCGACTGGGACAAAATGAAAGAAAAGAGTACTGTACACGCGTGTACTGTTCACGCGTAATTTTTTTAAAAAGTGTGTGCAAAACTGCGTCGTTTTGGGTGGGGAGCATGGTGCTCACCGTGGGATGATCCCACGGTATAGCAACTGGGGATAAAGCTACCGTTCTTCAAAACAAAATCTATATTTCACGGCTAATAATTGTTGGGTATTGATGGTGATTTTAAATGACTGTTATGCGAGGGGGGAACTAAATGAGGTTTTAGTTGGATATAAACAATTAATTGACCGCTTGATAGTGATGTTTTTTGACCTTTGAGAATTATCTTCATACTTTCCTTTTTTCGTCTGCGAGAGGGATGAATCGATTATTTAGAAAAGTTAGCTTATGTGATTGATATTGAATTAATAAAATAATAATAAATAAAAAATGATTTAGAGTCACACAAACTTTACCAAATTTAATACTTCGCATGAAACAATTTTAGTTGGATTTAGAGTATACTCCGTATTTTATTGCTACGGATTACTACCTTCGTCCCGCTGGAAGGTTCCCATAGCAAAACAGAACGGTTATTTAGGTGATAATTAAATAAAGTACTTCAGCTATGTTTTGAGAAATAATTTTAATAGGCATATATTATAATGTATTAGTATTGATAACTGTGATGTTATAAATGTATTATTTTTTATATTTAATGACTAATTTGTTAATTAAGATTGTTAATTGTTTCCTAATATGGAAATGAGAACCTTCTAATGGGTCACCCAAAAAGGGAAAAGTGAGAACCTTCTAACAGGACGTAGGGGTGGGCAAAAATCCCGGTCGTGGTGTCCCAAACCGAAAAATCCCGATACCGTTCCGAAACTATCCCGATCCATTTAGGACGCAAGTATTTCATCCCGCACCGATATTAATCGGGACGGGACCGGGATAGCTATAAAATATTATGTCCCGTCCCGTTTGAAATTAATATGTTATTTTAAATTTCTAATGCTATGTAATAGCCAAACCCAATTAAAACTTTGTAGTCCTTAGTCTCCCTAGTGTAATTTTATCTTCTTCTATGTCTCTCTTAGTCTTGTTTCTTTTGATTAAAATTTGTTTAATTCCCATTCCAATACTAATCTATAATATATTATTACGTGCGGAATATTATTTATGGTAAAATAACTACTACTCCAAATTATAGTGTTGTTATAGATTTAATATTTTCCATAATAACTAATAGAATATATATATATATATATATATATATATATATATAGTGTCTTTATAGATATGATATTTAATTTAAAGTGGTATTGAAAAATTACAAGTGTACTACAAAAGTATAAAATTATTTTCCGCTACTATATATTCTACTAGAGAAAACACAAGATTTGGGGGCCGAAAAATTTACAAGACAAAAATTAAAAGTAGTTAACTAAAGGTTTTACTTAATTGTACTTTTTTGGGAAGCTAAATTTGCAAAAATAATTACGTCTTTATTTTGATGTTATGCTTATTTTTATATCACATTTCACAAATGCATATTTTATGGGACATCCCAAACCGTCCCGGTTTTTCTCGGGTTGTCCCGGTCCCGTTTTAAATGAGACAATATTGGGATAAAGACTTATCTTGTACTGTACCATACCGGACCGTTATTATAAAACCGGGACGGGATCGGGATAAACCAAATCCCGGACCGTCCTGGACCGTGCCCACCCCTAATAGGACGGAGGGAGTATTTAATAAGTATATACTCCATACGGAGTATTATACGGAGTATTATACGAAGTATATAGCAAATTTCCTTATGATAATTATAGTTGCTATAGTATATAGGACATAATTACTTATGAGTTAGGGCCCACCTAGTATAAATTAATTCCTAATGAATGAGTATTATTGCTATGGAGTGGACTCGTATATTGTTGGAGTTTTGCTCTTGACATTTTTTTTTAATTCAATAGCCCTAGTGGGAATTGAGTATTCGGACGGTTGGTTTTTACTTATTTTTTTCTCAACCTAATCTAGGTGTTCCTTAAGTCAGATTTACGAATTCGGACGGGAGTAAAATGGAATTATGCATGTTTTCTACAAAAAAAAGGTTCCCCTAGTCAGATTTGCCAATTCTGACAGGAGATGTTCCACGAAAAAATCTAACCCTAACCCCTAGTCGGATCACCCAATTCCGACTCTCGTATTTTGGAACCCAATTTCATTTCCCGTATTTTGGCGTGTCAGACCAAAAAGTCCCGCATTTTGGTAATTTCATCGATTTAATCTAATACTCCGTATGATACAATTAAATATTATCGTATATATAGTCTAATTTGGTTATTATTATTATTAATTTGGTTTAGTTCAACCTTTTCATTCGAATTCAAAATGGCATAATATTATACAAAAAGTAAATACTTCGTAAGTATTAATGCAGTAAATGCTAATCAACTACTCCCTCCGTTCTCTAATAGATGGGAGTATAGCCTTTGGCACAAGATTTAAGAAGAAATTAATACGGATAGAATAAAAGGTGTAGTGGATTGTGTGTAAAGGAAAAAGTAGGAAAGAGAATGAGTGTAAATGAGTATATTTATTGAAAAAACTTACCAAAAGTGGAAAGGGAAACAACTAATAGAAAACATCCTAATGGGAAGAGGGTCAAGTATTAGAGAACGGAGAGAGTATATACCTTGTGTCAGAACCAATTCCGTGTGGGGGTTCAAGTTTTCAACCCGACAACCCCTATGGATGAATGATCTTCTCACCAAATTTGAATCCATGGCGAGCCATACGGCCATACCCATTATGTTGGTTGCAATATAATACTTTGGAGGGGTCTTACATGCAAATATGCAATACACCTATAGACAAAGCCAAGTCAGCATATACTAGAGATGACAGATGTACACAAGGGAACTTGACTCTTGTAAACCCGATATATAGATTGCTCGATCATGCAAACTTATTTTCCACCGCTACATCACCGTTCAGGGATGGACACATGAAGGGGCTGGAGGAGGCCTCAGCCGTGCAAGGAAAAAAATTAAGTATATATTATTGTTGGGATATATTATCCCGGCCTATTACTGTTCAGGAGCCCAAGACTTTACGTAGTACAGAGCCCAATCAGTAAGGCCCATTTTAGCCTATCAGGCCTGTTTCGGCCTTTGGGCCCATTTTGGCCCATTCGGCCCGTTAGGGTGGAGAGCCCCCTTTCCCCCTATTCCCTATAAATAGGAGGTTTCCCTCCATGGAAAAGGATCCTCTTTAGCTTCATCTTCCTCCTTCTTTTAGAATAGCTCAAATACTCCATTAATGGGAGCTTGTACAATGTAATTGTGAGGAGAGTCCTAATGAGAAAGAGAGGGCTTGGACATTAGCCTAAAAAGTCCCGTGGTTTTCTCCCTTTCGGGTTTCCACGTAAAAACTGAGTTGTTCATACACATTTATACATATATTTACTATATCGTGTTGGATTAAACTCAACACTGGCGCCGTCTGTGGGAATCTGTCCAAAAAGATTCACGTTGTTCTTCAGTTTCTACAACAAAATTCATTCGAAAATGGACTGATTTTAGCAAAGGAAGAAGAAGTTCTGAAATTTTGGTCTTGGGAAGCTCTAGCAGCACCTGCCCAACTGACCGAGGAGGAAGGGAGAAAGAAAGAAGAAAAATTTTGGGAGGCAAAGAAGCTACGAAATCTCGGAATCCACATATGGATTTTCTCAGATCTTGTTTGGGGCTGCCGGATCCACCGTACCCGCCGCCGTGAAATCCCCAGTGGATTTACCCACACCAGACGAAGCTCGCGGCAGCACCCCAGGTCGGGTCATCCTCGCCTCTAGGGAAGCTCCGTCTGCAAACGGGCGCTCATCGCTGGCAGCTGGTTCTACGACCTGAATCGCCACCTACGCCGCTCGTTTTCGCCGTCCCACCAAGAGGCCTTAACAAATTTCAGCATGTCTTGCTCCAGAGGACTGGCCTCGCCGGGGACCCTTTGCTCCGCTGCAGTTTACTTCCGTCCCTAAGCGGATGTACTGCCTGTTGGGGTTGGGGAGGGGTTGTTTCCATCTGCCTCTTGGAAAGATTCTTTTTGTTTGGTTGAGAGTCAACCACATCCGAAGGACCCAAATGAGATTGCAGTAAAATTGGGTGGAGCACCTTGCATGACTTCGGAAGTCAACGGTTGATGATGACTTGTGCCAGCTGCTATAACTTTGGCCAAGCTGCTCGAGGAGCAAGGCTCCAATTCGTAGATGAGCCAATTATTTCACCCATCTCAAAAGAGCTAAGTTATCATACGTACCCCTCTTTTATTATCTAAGTATTAATAATGAAGCTTGATTACTATTGCTAGTTTTTATCACCATTATTTAATAGGGGGCAAGTATCCCGAAATTAAATAATGTCGAGTAAAGCTCAGATGGGAAAAACTCTAGTGATAATCATTTTTAACCATCATTTTAATTAATGACTGGTTGTTGTGGGCCCGTCGGCCCGCTCCTGATCGGCTTTAATTAGCGAACGGAGCATATCTGAATGGCCTTTGGTAGGATAATACTATTATTACTACCCGTACATCACTATTATTTATTAGGGATAAAAATGTCCCGAATTAAATGATGCGGAGCGAAGCTCTAGTGATAGTTAGTTCGGCCAACATTTTATTAAATGTTTAATTGTTTGTGGGGCCGTTGGCCCACTCTCGATCAGCTTGATTAAGTGATCCGAGCGTCTCTGGAAGGGCGATGCCCCGACGACGCATTTTAATTGGAGGGTTGCGCATTAGTCCGAACGGCACTACGTGCCCGATCGACGATCATACCCCAATGTAATCTACGCCATTAGGCGCGAAGTGACTATTGCCAAACGTGGCCTATGGGGCCCGAGGGAACCAAAGCACTCAACCTCGTTTTTCCGAGGGCAGTGCGACTAACTTGGGTCTGAGTTGAAAACTCACAGACCGGTGAATATCTCTATGTGACGTTCGGCGGGCTGCTAATTGGCCCCGCCGCGAGCTGCTACGTCCATTAACCCCGCACGATGAGCCGGGCCGAGGGTCACGATAACCCATAGGCCGGTAATCGTAGGTGTTAGAGAGAAAGCCACGCAGATGGCTATGTATATATACTGTCGGGCCGTGCGGCCCGTTATCATGCTTATTGCGCAGCTGAAGCTGCTCGACGCGCTCGAGCGAAATGATTAAAAGACGCTCGGCCCGAGTCTTGAAGACGTTCAGGGCCAGCTAAAGAGGAGACCATCACGGCTGAGAGCCGAGAGACGAACATCTCCACCTCAGAGACCGATGGCCTAGGAAGAACACCTAGAGGCCAAGGGTCTAGAGGGAACTGCCACGACGAAGAACCGTGAGACGATCATCCATCATTCAGAGGCCGAAGGCCTAGAGGAGACCACCGCGGCCGAGGTCCAACTGACACAATCATATCACGACCGGCCTCTCGGCACGGCGTGATTATCATCTTCTGAAGACCGGTATCATCCCCGCGCTGCGCGGATGAGAGCCATTGCATGGGTACACTTGATCGGCCTCTCATTGCCGACATCATTATGTCACGACCGGCCTCTCGGCACGGCGTGATTATCTTATTTGAAGACCGGCCTCGTCCCCGCACTGCGCGGATGAGGACCGTTGCTTGGTTTTTTCAGGTCGGCCTCTCATTGCCGACATCATTACATCGCGACCGGCCTCTCGGACCGGCGTGATTATCATATTCGAAGACCGGCCTCGTCCCCGCCACCTCGCGGACGAGGACCGTTGCTTGACCATATCTTGATTGGCATCTCATTGCCGACATTATCATACCACGACCGGCCCCTCGGCTCGGCGTGTTCATCTTTTGAAGACCGGCCTCGTCCCCACACCGCGCGGACGAGGACCGCTGCTTGGTTCAGTCAGGTCGGCCTCTCATTGCCGACATCATTATATCACGACCGGCCTCTCGGCACGGCGTGATTATCTTATTTGAAGACCGGCCTCGTCCCCGCGATGCGCGGATGAGGACCGTTGCTTGATTTCAGATCGGTCTCCCGTGCCGACATCATTATATCATGACCGGCCTCTCGGCTCGGCGTGTTTATCTTTTGAAGACCGGCCTCATCCCCGCACTGTGCGGATGAGAGCCGTTGCTGGATTGCAGGTCGGCCCCTCAGTGCCGACACTATCACATCATGATCGGCCGCTCATTGCCGACACCATTATACCACGACCGGCCTCTCGGCTCGGCATGCTTATCTTTTGAAGACCGGCCTCGTCCCCGCCACCTCGCGGATGAGGACCGTTGTTTGATTCTTTCAGGTCGGCCTCTCACTGCCGACACTATCATGTTATGTTCGGCCTCTCGGCACGACATATTTACCTTTTGAAGACCGGTTTCATCCCCGCGCTGCGTTGGATGAGAGCCGTTGCTCGGATATATCGGCCTGACTGGACACTATTGCCATCTCCGTTATCAGGACCGACTGCTCAGCGATATTATGATCATTGTATACCGGCTCCCAATGCCGACCTTCTTGAGTCAGCGATCGGGCTCACTCCTCCCCTCCAGGAGGGTGACCATCGCCTTCGCATGACGACCAGCTATTCCGTCGCCTCGTCATTTTATTCGTTTTGGTATGCCACCACCATTATGTGTGACATCCCGTGATCCCTGCGAGTTTCTTGGATACCGAATGTCTTCTTCGATGTAGGAAGATCGGTAGGACCACGGACCGGGGACGGACGAACGAAGCACCAGGGAATCTCGATGCAGATACACCTGTTCCTCCTTGTGATGTCTGCGGATACCGAACGTCTCCTCGACGTAGGGACGCCGGTAGGACCAAGGACCAAGGACGAACGAAGCACCAGGGAATCTCGATGCAGATACACCTGTTCCTCCTTGTGATGTCTGCGGATACCGAACGTCTCCTCGACGTAGGGACGCCGGTAGGACCAAGGACCAAGGACGAACGAAGCACCAGGGAATCTCGATGCAGATACACCTGTTCCTCCTTGTGATGTCTGCGGATGCCGAACGTCTCCTCGAAGTAGGGACGCCGGTAGGACCAAGGACCAAGGACGAACGAAAACCATAGATTACCTCCCTAAAAAAAAAAAAAAAAAAAAAAAAAAAAAAAAAGAGATAGGGAGAAGAGGAGGGTAGCTCCTATACGGAAGGGAATCTTGCCCGGGTGTGCCAGATCTTCCCCCACCGCCGAAGGCGAACGCCTCTCGATGTAGAGGTTAGTAGAGACGTGGAGGGGGCTAGACGAACCAAGGGAGCCTGCCAAGATAAACCTGTTCATCCCACAATGACCATGGATCGATGGACGTGGGATAACAAAGACGGGAACCCGTGAGGGTAAACCAGTTCGTCCCTGCGAGTTCCTTGGGTACCGAACGTCTTCTTCGATGCAAGAGACGCCGGTAAGACTAAAAGGACCAGGGACGAACGAAAAAGGGGGAATCTCGATGTAGATATACCTGTTCCTCATTGCGATGTCCGCGGATACCGAACGTATCTTCGATGTAAGAACGCCGGTAGGACCAAGGACCAATGACGAACGAAGACTAAAAGACTCCAAAAAAAAAAAAAAAAAAAAAAAAAAAAAAAAAGATGCCAGAAGAGCACGGAGCAAAGAATGATTTTATCCCTTGGCACTATTGGCTGTGAAGTACAAACTGAAAAACATATGTAAAGAATAATTACAAGACTTAAGTACGAAGAATGAAGTGGCCGACGACGATCGGCTAACATCAGGTTTTCTTTTGCATTGGACGACGCCCAGGTCCACCCTTCCTCCCAGGATGAAGTCCTGATAGACGATCGGTTTCTCAGCGCCATCGTGTCTCTTTCACGTTCGGATCGCCCCATTCCCTCCAGGATGGCGACGAACGTCTTATGCAGCACGATCGGCTTCTCAGCGCCATCGTGTCTCTTTCACGTTCGGATCGCCCCATTCCCTCCAGGATGGCGACGAACGTCTTATGCAGTGCGATCGGCCCCTCGGCGCCATCGTACTTGGCTTCACGGTTCGGCTCGCCCATTCCCTCCAGGATGGCGACGACCGTCTTATGCAGCACGATCGGCTTCTCAGCGCCATCGTGTCTCTTTCACGTTCGGATCGCCCCATTCCCTCCAGGATGGCGACGAACGTCTTATGCAGTGCGATCGGCCCCTCAGCGCCATCGTACCTGGCTTCACGGTTCGGCTCGCCCATTCCTTCCAGGATGGCGACGACCGTCTTATGCGGTACGATCGGCCCCTCAGCGCCATCGTACCGAGCTCACGTTCAGTTCGTCCATCCCTTCCAGGGTGGCGACGAACGTCTTATGCATCACGATCGGCTTCTCAGCGCCATCGTGTCTCTTTCACGTTCGGATCGCCCCATTCCCTCCAGGATGGCGACGAACGTCTTATGCAGTGCGATCGGCCCCTCGGCGCCATCGTACTTGGTTTCACGGTTCGGCTCGCCCATTCCCTCCAGGATGGCGATGACCGTCTTATGCAGCATGATCGGCTTCTCAGCGCCATCGTGTCTCTTTCACGTTCGGATCGCCCCATTCCCTCCAGGATGGCGACGAACGTCTTATGCAGTGCGATCGGCCCCTCGGCGCCATCGTACTTGGCTTCACGGTTCGGCTCGCCCATTCCCTCCAGGATGGCGACGACCGTCTTATGCAGCACGATCGGCTTCTCAGCGCCATCGTGTCTCTTTCACGTTCGGATCGCCCCATTCCCTCCAGGATGGCGACGAACGTCTTATGCAGTGCGATCGGCCCCTCGGCGCCATCGTACTTGGCTTCACGGTTCGGCTCGCCCATTCCCTCCAGGATGGCGACGACCGTCTTATGCAGCACGATCGGCTTCTCAGCGCCATCGTGTCTCTTTCACGTTCGGATCGCCCCATTCCCTCCAGGATGGCGACGAACGTCTTATGCAGTGCGATCGGCCCCTCAGCGCCAACGTACCTGGCTTCACGGTTCGGCTCGCCCATTCCTTCCAGGATGGCGACGACCGTCTTATGCGGTACGATCGGCCCCTCAGCGCCATCGTACCGAGCTCACGTTCAGTTCGTCCATCCCTTCCAGGGTGGCGACGAACGTCTTATGCATCACGATCGGCTTCTCAGCGCCATCGTGTCTCTTTCACGTTCGGATCGCCCATCCCTTCCAGGGTGGCGACGAACGTCTTATGCATCACGATCGGCTTCTCAGCGCCATCGTGTCTGGCTCACGTTAGGGTCGCCCATCCCTTTCAGGATGACGACGAACGTCTCTTATGCAGCACGATCAGCGCCCCAGCGCCATCGTGTCTGGCTCACGTTAGGGTCGCCCATCCCTTTCAGGATGACGACGAACGTCTCTTATGCAGCACGATCAGCGCCCCAGCGCTGTCGTGTCTGGCTCACGTTAGGGTCGCCCATCCCTTTCAGGATGGCGACGAACGTCTCTTATGCAGCACAATCAGCGCCCCAGCGCCATCGTGTCTGGCTCACGTTAGGGTCGCCCATCCCTTTCAGGATGGCGACGAACGTCTCTTATGCAGCACGATCAGCGCCCCAGCGCCATCGTGTCTGGCTCACGTTAGGGTCGCCCATCCCTTTCAGGATGGCGACGAACGTCTCTTATGCAGCACGTCTGCCTCTCGGCGCTGACATGCTCGAGTTCTCATTGAGAGCTACCGCTCCTATCACATCTTGCATTCCCTCTCTCATACATTGCACCCATACATTACATGCATTCATGCATCATACCTCATACATTCATACATACACATGTGCATCATGTTTTGACAGTACCGCGACGTCGGTTTATAGATGCATGGACCTCTAAGCTTCTCCGTTGGAAAGCTCGAGTCAGAGTCCTTTACTCTCGCCTGATGCATTCAGGGGGAGCGTGCCCGTGGAGGAGCACCCTTCGCCCGACCCCGTCGGGAACGGGGGTGCCTCACCGGCAGCTTACGTTCAGGAGTGTGGACATCCACTCATGTATTATGATTATTCGAAGACACAGGTTCCAGCTTGACCGAGGTAAAGCGCAGGCAAGAGTATATTTTCTCGAGCAGATTCGCACGCTCACTACTCAAGAAACTGGGGGACTTGTGTTGGGATATATTATCCCGGCCTATTACTGTTCAGGAGCCCAAGACTTTACGTAGTACAGAGCCCAATCAGTAAGGCCCATTTTAGCCTATCAGGCCTGTTTCGGCCTTTGGGCCCATTTTGGCCCATTCGGCCCGTTAGGGTGGAGAGCCCCCTTTCCCCCTATTCCCTATAAATAGGAGGTTTCCCTCCATGGAAAAGGATCCTCTTTAGCTTCATCTTCCTCCTTCTTTTAGAATAGCTCAAATACTCCATTAATGGGAGCTTGTACAATGTAATTGTGAGGAGAGTCCTAATGAGAAAGAGAGGGCTTGGACATTAGCCTAAAAAGTCCCGTGGTTTTCTCCCTTTCGGGTTTCCACGTAAAAACTGAGTTGTTCATACACATTTATACATATATTTACTATATCGTGTTGGATTAAACTCAACAATTATGTATAAATACTTTTAATCTATAAAAAATATGTTATATATTTTAAATTTTGACTTATGCAATGTAAATGTGTAAGAACCTCACCCCTCAACCATATATTTCTGGCTCCGCCACTGTCACCATTTGAGCTAATACATAATTACTACTCGAACTTTCCTCTCTCCATCTCACTACATCTTTATTGGGTGTTATTATAGTTACTCTTTTCTAAATAGTTGTGAGCATCCTATTTTGGACCAACAATATAATATAAAACTTAATGAGTAGTTGTGTTTAATAGATACTGTCTTTTATCAAAAGAGAAAATTGTCAAATAAGCCTTCATACTATATTCGAAAAGTCACTTAGTCTCTCGTACTTTAAAAACACTCATTAAACCCTCAAACTTCTAAAAAAAAACGTTCTATTGAGCGTTTTAGCAGGTCAAAAACTAGTTTCCACTTAACTTTTCACGTTGCGGGCCACATGGCAATTATTTTCGTTTTCCTTTATTCTTCTTCATTTTCTTTTCTCTTATCTATTTTTCTTTCCTTTTTTTCTAGTTCCCATGTTCTCCAATTTACCTATCATTCCCCATCTGCCACAACCCACAACTGGCCACAAGAGACGTGGTTCCTCCATAGTGTATCCAAAGTACTGAGCCAAATACGACTTTTCTTGTTAGGACCTCCGACAAACTCGGGCAAAGGGCGGAAACTCCTGAAAGGGCGAGTCCTCTCCTCTATGCGAACAGGAAGAGAGTCAACGGTGTTGGTTTAGACTGCAGTGATTCACCCATGTTGTTTTAGGCTCAATTAGAGAAACAAATTGAGATCCTCCAACATTGAAAAATTTGTCCTGGTTTCAGTTCCTCAGAACTCCTTGGTGACTTTGTTGAAAGTCCAAGCCGTTCATCCGTCGATCGAAGGTCCAGAGCAAACGCTGATATTATTTCTGTAATCTCTAGCGAATTCTGGAAGCAACTCTGGCTATGATAGCCTCCCTCTATGCGAATGAAAAGGAAAGAAACAAAAAGAAACAAAAACAAAAAGAAATAGTGGGCTTTTTGGAAGAGAGGGGTTTAAATTGATATGAAAGCATTAACATTCAGAAAAGGAATAAAAAAAGTAAGGAAACACATATATAACCGTCAGTCCGCGAACCAGACTCGGAGTTAATCAATCACTTTCAAACAAGCAATATAACTCGCTAATCCATTAATGGGCAGACCTAAGCCACATACGATTGAAGCAGACCAAACGTTACCTAATCCTAATGCAAGGGTCTTACAATAATAAAAGTAAACAACAAAAAAATAAACAGTCTGATCATAAAAAATATAATGCAAGCAAACGGAAAAAAGAAAAAGATGTTTCCAAACTCTAGCCTCTCCTGCGCTACATGGCGGCGGTTCAGGAGGGGGACGATCCAGCAGTACCGAAACTTCTTCCTCGTGTTGCCTCTTATTCATCAGGTTCTCTACCTATTAGTGAGGGCTTTTGAAGCTCCTCTCACAACTTTTAGAATTTTTTCAACTCAGCCCTTTGGATCATGTAGAGCCTACTTGGTCATACTCATTGTTGTAATTATCTTACAACGAAAATCTACTTCTCCTACGAAATTGGGGGGTTAATTCTTGATTTTTCCTAGCTCATATTAAATCTACTAGCTCATATTATCGCCAAAGTGTTCATGAGAGGAGAAAACAATGAAGAATGCATATTTCTATTATTATGGGTTTTAAAATCTACAATTGACATTGATATATTTCCAAATTTCACATGCTTCATCTTAATTGAGCACCTCTAGATTTATATTCATCATTTTGTAATTAAAAAAAAATCTCAATTGAATACTACTCCTTATTACATCTATTAGTTGGAATTCCCAGTCTTTTTAAAATCTGAATGTGTATAACCGATATACGTCCGTTCCTATCCACATTTAAATTGTTTTTCTCAATACAATTGTTTTTAGGAAATTCTAAACACTAGATAATTCGAAATAGGGAGTATAATAATAGATTAATAGGAGTACTACTCCGTATAATATACTCATATCAACTTGAAAATTAATAAAAAGATGTTCTCTTAATAATTTCTAATAAAGTTGTACTACTGGGATTCTGGGAACCAAGTCAACCAACACACTTAACGTGTGTGAGATATCCGTTAGTTCGTGGTAGGTAAAGCACACACTTTTTCATTTCCCTCGCTTTATAAAATTGGCAGGTTTAATTTTGAGTCATGCAAAACAAGCTGTATATTTTTTTTACAAAGCTTTCTCCAGAACCCCGCTCTGAGATTCATTTTGACCTACCAAGCTTTCATCTTCCCTCTGAAATTTTACCTTCAGTTCTTTCATTGATACTACTGAAAATCAGTTATATCAGTCAATATCATGGCTGCAAGTTTTGCCAAGAGACAGACCACCAGGTTTTTAGGACCTCTTCTTTCTTCATCTCTGCCTCATCTCTGCACCAGGAATGGAGTTCCGGGAAGCACCAGAATCTCACCTCTCCTCACCCAATTCGTCGATTCAAACTCAGTCAAGTCTCCTCCCTCTTCACCCATCCAAAAACTCAGTTTCCCAGATTCCTTTACTTACAGATTTTGCGCCAAATTTAGCTCTCAACTCCACACCCTACCCCGCCGGAACCCTAGCAGTATACACCAAAAATTTCTTCTTAAACCCAAACGATCGGATCTCAGTGGACTGTCTCTGTTAACGAACAACCAAAGGGCCGTATTCTCAAGTTCTTCAGAGCAGGCTGAGCTGCCAAGCGGCGGCGGCGGAAAAACTCTAAGCGGCGATGAGACAAAGCGCGTGGAGATCTATGAACCCAGATTCGACCGAAGCGAATCCGCGCAGGCCAATGAAACCCGAGACGCAATTTGTATCAGAATGGCAATTTGTTGTTGTCTCGTTGCGCTGGTTTTAATTACTTGGTTGCACTACCCTTTAAGGATTTTATATGTTATTCCTGCTGTTGTCGCAAAACAAGGGAATTTTGTAGCACCTACAAAAGTTGCACCACCTACCTTTGATGATTGCATCAATAAGCTCAAAATGCTTGGATGGGAAAAAGATGAGCCATTATATAGGGTTGCACTTGCAATTCTTTGTGATCCAAATGACCTTTATCGGGAAGCTTGGATGAAAATCGACCCGGAGCATCTCCAAAACTGGGTCGAAATGATTGGAAAAAAGTTAGGATTCATGTAGAGCCCGTTTGGTAGCACCAAAATCGGCTGTTTTGGCTGATTCTGCTGAAATTTATGATATTCTGGCTGGAGTGGCTGTTTTGGCTGATTCTGCTGATTTAAGAAAAAAAATATTTTAAAAATATATTTTATTAATAAATTAAAGAAAAAATTATATGTAAAAATAGCTAAAATGGTCCTCTACAGTAACTTCAGCCAATACAGCCAGAAAAGTAACTCCAACCTTACTTTTTCGGCTTATTACACAATTCAGCGCGCGAAAGTAAAAGTTACGTGTTTGGTGAAAAAGTTGGCTGATAAGCCTGATAAGCCGAAAACAGAGTTCTCCAAACGGGCTCGTAATGTTTTCATATGTGGTGTTTGTGTTTACACGTTATGTTTAGACATCAGGATGACTATTATGCGTTATTTGTGAATCTTATAGGGAGTAATGTTTTCTGTGATATCTAAAAGAACATCTAATATTTTTTGTAAGGTCAATGTAAATCTACAAGAGCAACCTCTATTCTTAATACGTAGTAGTTTATATCATTGTGAGGTGGAGATATTCTATGACACTTTAATCATTCATATATACTCCATACCTATTAAAATAGATTACCTATCACTGTAAGATTTTCTTACAATGAAAATTGATATGCACTAGTTTGTAGTGCATAAATGTATGTTTTCATATTTATTCTGTGTGGATTGTTTACCATTTTTAGTTAGTTTGTAAGCACTTGTTTTGTCGTGTTTGTAAATGTTTGTAGCTTCCATTTATAGTTGTAAAATAGTGTTGGAGCTTTTTGGCAAGAAAAAAGGAGAAAAGTCAACAGAAATGATGCCCAGAGAGATCCACCCGACCGGGTAGAAATCTTCACCCGGTCGAGTCTGATTTGAAATCAGAACCTCACAGGAAAGAGCTAGACCCGGTCGGGTCAAGTAATTCACCCGGTCGGGTCAGATGTGACCCGGGACATTTTAACGTGCTAAAACACAAGAACGTGGAAGATTATCTGATTTAGACATGCACCCGGTCGGGTGGGCACTTGACTCGGTCGGGTACCCGGCCCAGGGTGTTGAAAAACACCTATAAATAGCACACTTTTCCTTCACAAATAATCATCCCTTCTTCCATACTCTTAAGCTCAGTTTAGAATAGTATTTCTTTTATATTTTATAGCATGTTTAGTCTCCAAATGAGGAGCTAAACTCTTCCATCTTGGTTTTACTACTTTGAAGCTTAATGAATTTGTAAGTTGTGAGTTATTCTCTTTAATCTTCTTCCTTGAATATTAATTCTTCTTTTAAATACTATTTCTATATCAATGTTGGGGAGTGTTACTAAGATGACAATTAGTTAACATCTTGACATTAGTTATAGTAATAGCTATTTCTTCCTCTATGTTAATATTGGGGAGTGTTACTAACATGACAATTAGTTAACATCTTGATATTAACTATAGTAGGATTCATCTTCTTTAATATTCTTCCTTGAGTATTAATTAATTCCTATTCATATTTCATATTAATATTTTGAACATTACTTAAAGGATCAACTTGTTTTGTTTCATATATTAATTATTACTAGAATCAATCGGTTAATACGCTTGTTATTAATTCGGTTCTTTCAATGGTAGTAAAACTTGGGTTGTTAATGCATGCTTCTCATGATTAATAAGCCAAGGGGAATTAATTATATTAATTAAACCAATAAACTGCTTGTGTTGAGGTTGTCAATCTCAATCGTTTTCATCTTAAGTTTATTGCTACTATCAAGTTAATATACGGCGCTTGTTCTATATTGACTCGCTAGTAAGTTTTATTAATGAACGCATCTCGTTATTAATAACTACCCTCGATGAACTGGATATACTCCTCGATTGAGTATTCGAGGGGAAGATAGTTAAAGATATAACCGGGATCAACGAACATTTCATTAAGTGGATAAAAGCAAAACCAAGTTTTCTTCTCATTAATTAAACCACATAACTCGTTCATCTTCGTGCTTAAATATAATTTAAGTTCAATCATTAAATCAACCCCCCCCCCCCCCCCCCCCCCCTTATTACTAGTTATAAAAAGAGAAGTATTCCTTTCCCTGCGGATACGAACCTTACTACGCTATACTACGTATAAGTGTTGTATTGTATTATTATTTTGAGTGCACATCACGACAATGTGCACGTCAAAAATCTATATCTCTTTGAAATTGGTGAGTGGATTTTTTATCTTTCCTAACTCATATCAAATTTCCACCATCATTGGCAGGGCCGGTCCTGTCGATTTTTGGGCCTATAGGCGAGATATTATTTGGACCTATGTTCAAGACAAAAACTAATCTCTAAAAATCTATCAACGAAACGGGACCCACCAAAAGTTATTTTCTTCACTTAAATTACAATTATCTGGCTCAATTTCACTATTTGCATCTTCTGCATCTATATCACTATTTCCAAGCATGTTATGCTTTTCATTCACAAAAGAATTTAGCGGCAATTCAACTTGAGAAGAATTTTCGGGATTCGATTTCTTAACAAAAACAAAATTTTCCATTGCCCACGTCTTACTTAAGGTTGCCTTTTCTAATCTTTGCCTCTTTTTTCTCTTTTTCCCAACTAGATTCACCCATTTTATCAAACATCTTCACAATAGTAAAACGAAATAAAGAAATTCAATTCAAAATTGCACAATACCAAACATATATGAATTTACCAAGACACCAAAAATGCATCATATAGAAATCATTAATCATAATTCATAAATCAAAAGAACATTTAATGGATTTATTATTCATAGCTAATAGATTGGGAATAATTTACTGGCCGTTGTCGGATTGTTTGAAGCCTTGACAGAAGAAGTGTTCTAGTCGTCGGCCGCTGTTTAAACTCCTCACCACTGACCGCTTTGGTTAATGGCAATTTGCAGACTTGCGGTGCTCTCTAATGCCTACTCTTGTGCAAGACGACCAATACCTTATTAAACCTTAGTCCTTTAGTTCATTAGATAATTGAGCTTAATTGGAACTTGGAAACCACCGTCCAGGAAATTAATTAGGTTAGTGGGATGGGGTGGTTTATGAATCGGGAGTTTGGGAGACACACGGTTGTACAAAGAGTTAGAGCCAATAAATATTTTGGTAATTTTGTAATTAAAAGAATTATAAAGCTTAGAGGAGTTTTTTTCAAAATTAATGCTAAGTAAAATAATAATTACAAAATTGATGATGGGTTAATATTATTTCCCATTATACTGCTACACAAACTCTAGTTAGGGGTACAAGCCTACGTATGAATCGTGACCAAAGGGGCATCACAAATAGAAGAAGAGCACTGTGGGACCCAATAAAATGAAAAGTCTCATTTTTCTTAAAAATGTTGTAACTTTTGTAATTTTACTCCAATTGTTATAAAAAATATATCACAATTCATAATTTTTTATTATCTTTCATATGACACCAGTATTGCCTATATAAAAATAAAAAATAATTTAGCACTTCAAAAATATAATGTTTTTAAAAGTATTGCAACTTTTTAATTTGTTGCAATACTTTTAAAAACATTATATTTTTAAAGTGATAAATTATTTTTAAATTTTAATATATCTAATATTGATATCATATGAAAGATAATAAAAAATTATGAATTTTGATATATTTTTTATAAATGTTAGACAAATAATAAAAAAGTTATAACCATTTAAAGAATAAAAATGTTTTTTTCTAAATATGGGTCCCACTTGCCTTCTCTTCCTTAGTCCATTCGTACGGTAGCTTTCGATTGAACCAAAGCGGCATGTCGTTTTTGTTTAACCGTGGTTCTAAGGAGCAGTAGTTTGGTAAATGTTTTTAACCAAACACTAATTCGGTAAATAGTGTTTGCTTTAGCTTTATTTTAGGAAAAAACTCAGCTTAGAGATGTGAAAAGACTTAATTACTCAAAGAGGCGTGCCACAGCCCACATGCCTTTTAACCTTTGTTTTAAAAATTTTAAATTTCCAACAAAATTAATCATTAGGCCTAATTGCTTGAGCTTAAATTAAAAAAAGAAACTTACTCACGCTATATATAAAGACAAATTTTTGGGCCTATTTTTCCCCTCTATTTTTTCGGGCCTAGGGCGGTCGCCCCTGTTGCACCCCCCTAGGACCGGCCCTGATCATTGGTAGATGATGGTTTCGACTATTTTTCGTAAAAATTTTCCTTAATTTTTTAATACGTAGTAGTATAAAACATTCTTTTGACAAATGATAGTATGAAACTTTAATATATGCCTTTGGTGTTGTATAAAAAGAAGTTTATAGGAATTTGTAGTTTCTTTTGACGGTTTTGTCGACATACATCTCATATTTTATTGTATGATGGTTTACATTTAATTTCAAACGTTAATTTTTTAATTTTCCATTAAGTATATCATTTTATTTTATTTAGTGTTTTCAATTGAAATTATTCACTATCGAATTCTCCGTATTTATTACTTTTTTATTTATATAATCATGTGGAGTAACTAGTAGATATGAGAACTAATTTGAGTTATCCTCTCAATTTTGATGTTTCTTATACAATGAGCCTATTTATATGCATACACCCGATTTTTTATATGATATGGTTAGACTTGATTTAGTAGATGAATTACATTTACTTTTACGGGGTGTATTGTATCGGGATTTAGTGGCAAAATATTAGAAGTTCACGGACTTTAAAAATCCAGGTGTATTGAATATAGACTTTTAAAAGTCTATCAAAGTTTGGGGGTATTCAATTAGAACTTTTAAAAGTCCATAAAAATCTGGATGTATTCAAAAAATTAACAAATCTTGTGGATTTTTAAAATGGTGGATTCTCATGGATTTTAGAACAACTGATATATATATCAATTCCGTTGGATTGTCTCGTGCTCCCCCGTAAGATTTCACGCAGACTCTCCCCCCTTGGGTTATCTCGCCTCTTCATCCCTCGTATGTCTCGCAGGGTTTTCACGCAGACTCTCTTCCTTGTGTTCCAAATATGCTTTCGATATCTTCCCTATTTCTACTGCGTGTGATATCGACCTTTTGTCTTCTTTCTTTTCTATTCGTGTATGACTTTATATGCAAGTCATTTTAACAATATATGGGAGTAATTTTCAGTAGTGCCTTTGTGCTTATCACTTTATCAATGAAATTTATTGCTCTGTATAATTCTCACACGTTTAGTGGAATAAATCTGATACGTTGTCATCCAAATACAGTTTAGTGAGTGAATATAATTAATTTATATTACTTTTGTTTTGGTTAATTATAAACCGTGTATTGTAACAAAATACTACGTATAAAACTTGTTTGGTAAGGTTGGTACGTGGGCAAAAATAGTTTCGTTTATGCTATCATTTTTGCTGGTTTTGATTATGACATTTGTTTACTTTTTATGATGATTTTATTTTAGTTTTTGCTAGGCTATTTGTATTTTTTCTATAAATTGTAAAAAATGAGGCTTACCCCTCATTGTGTAATGCCTGTAATGAGACTTACACAATAGGAAATGCTCAGAAACCGCCTTAA